GTAACAATATATACATGTTTAAAAATAGTAAATAGATGCTGAATGATTCGTTTGTCCTATTTCATCTATTCTTGCAATAGTACATAATTAATCACTATAACAAAAGCATGGAGCTCGAGAAACTTGAAGATATCAAACGTGAACTCGTTACGAGGCAAGAATATTTTTAATAGGCTATGTAAATGAAAAATTTATCTGCGTGATGCAACGTTCTCGGATAATAAATGAGAAATATATTCCCAGGGCAATTAATTAGCCTTCAAACACCAGATGCGTAGAAGGAAAGTATGTGTAAAGCGATTTGAAATTCTTGAAAGTTCCTTCGATTCTCCGAGTCATTCCCATTGCAAAAAGCGTACATGCATAAACAACGTCCAGTTTCTTTCCATTTCTGTCTCGATTTGTATCTGTCCATCGCGGCTGATTTCGTATTAATTTAAATATTTCTCTGATTTATGTATTTTAAAAAGAAGCACGTATAAAATTATTTAAATTGTTTTATCGATCGAACTAGATTTATCTCTCGTAGTATTGACTGAACGGTTTCGGTTTGATGATTTTCTCAAACGGGAAATCGTTGAAGGCTTTGCCGAAAATTTCCGTGAACGCAGTGGAGACTAGCTCGCTGATGAAACGTCTGGTGACCACGAATCCTGGCTGCCAAGCGCCGTTAATTATTCTGTCGAGGATGCTCTCGAGGACTTGTTTACCGGACAATAAATTCGTTATGTGAAGCTTCAGATCTTTGATCGTCTGCACGTCGACGTTCACCTCGACCTTTTCCCCGGGCCTCTTGGTGATCGTGGTCGTTTGCATCAGGTCGTCTAAAATAATTATAATTCAACCAATGATTTGATTAGTTAATGGCTTGTCTCTTGTCACTTACAAAGAGCCAACGTGAATTTCCCTTTGTTCGCCACGCTGGAGCTGAACACCTTCGCTTTGAACTCGTATAAACCTGACAAGAATTTAGCTGGAAAGCTTTGCGTGTATACAACCTAACAATTGAAATAAACAACAAATTATTCATCTATAATAAAATTTTAAGTACCTCTCGAATTTATTTTTTGTAATTGCGGACTTTAAATA